TGCATAAGACTCTTCGAGTTATACGCACTACTGAGACGGAGGGAGTGAAGTTGGCCGCCTACCGCCTGAAAGGGGTGGCCTACTCTTGGTTTGAGCCGTGGGAGGACTCTCGGGAGGAGGGGAGCCCTCCAACGAGGTGGAGTGAGTTTACTGACGCTTTCATGGACCATTTCTTGCTGGCTGAGACTAGGGCAGATCGTGCCACAAAGTTTGAGAACCGTAAGCAAGGAAGTAAGAGTGTGTGGGAGTATCACAAGGAGTTCGCGCGTCTATCTAAATATACCATTCTCATGTTGGCTACTATGGAGGCTAGAGTGCACCGGTTTGTGCAGGGCCTTAGCCCCTTGGTTATTAATGAGGCCGCTACAGCTGCCTTAAATTCAGATATGAACTATGGGAAGATGGTAGCATTTCTCAAGCTATAGAGAACCGTAAGTTGAAGAACAGAATGGAGCGAGAGGGTACCAGTAAGGCCCGGTCCACGGGCAACTTTGGGGAGTCATTTGGTGGGAGAAGATCAGCTTTTAGGGGAGGGTCATCAGGGCCATCCCAGTCTGTTGCTAAGTCTTCAGTCAGTGCACCGCCAGCAGGGCCCAGTCAGAAGCAGGGGAGTCGTTTCAGGCCCAATCAGGGCAGCAGGGGACCACACCAGCAGGGCCAATCAGGAGGGAGATTCCAGCAGCAGCGGAGGCCCCCATGCCCCAGGTGTGGGAAGATGCACTTGGGGATCTGCTACATGGACCTACCTATATGTTACAGGTGCGTATTGAGGGGTCATATTCAGAGGGAGTGTCGTTCATCCCGCCAGGGTGCGGGTAGGGGCACAGCACAACCATCCAGTTCTGCAGCTGCTACATCTTTAGCACCCCCTCCATCTTGAGGCACCCCAGCCCCAGCAGGGCGTGGTGCAGCTAGGGGTGGTGCGCAGAGTTTAGGAGGACCCAACCGTTTCTATGCTATGAGTGGTCGCCAGAGTGCAGAGGCTTCTCCAGATGTTGTCACAGGTATATTGACTGTCCAATCTCATGATGTATATTCTTTTATTGATCCCGGTTCCACCTTGTCCTATGTTACCCCTTATGTTACTATGGAATTTGGGATAAAACCGGAACAACTTCCTGAGTCGTTCTCTGTATCTACTCCGGTTGGCGAGTCTATTGTGGTCGTACGGATTTATAGGGGTTGTGTTGTCACGGTGCGTGGTCGGGACACCATGGCCGATCTCATTGAATTGGAGATGGTCGATTTTGATGTAATTATGGGAATGGATTGGCTTTATCCATGTTTTTCCAGCAGACTTAGTGAGCCCCAGTTCATCCCGGGGTCACATATTGTATCTTTTGTTCATATTATTATCACGTCTCGAGGTATAGCCGGGGCCTTGTTGCCGGCACTATCATAACACTATTTTATATCTTTTAGAGGCTTCGTAGACACTATGTGGGTTGTACATGTATGCTAGAAAAGTCAAACAGATTATGTTGTGTTTTGATCTCTTATTCCACTCGAATCATAAGAATGTATGTATCTTGAAACTTAAAAATAATGTAACCAATGAGATGATTTAGTATTGTATATATGATCTTCCTACTATCTAATTAATGAAATCATGTCTTCTCTTGATCAGGGGTAAATTGGGTAGAAAGTATCTAACAGGTTTGCTCGACCAGGTTTGCTCGGTTGGGCGCCTGTAGCGCTTCCCGAGGTTGGGGCATGACAAAAATAACAACCTAGGTAGTATTGCATTATGTCAACTATATTATATGCATGCACGCTAAAACAATATATAAATAATATTATAAATTGAAGATCATATAATATTGGTATACTACAAAAGAAAAACAAAATCACACCTTATGAAAGTATTTGAATTTTGTGATTAACCTTATTATTTCAAAGAGTAATATGAGACTAAGAAAAGAAGAAACGGCGGAAGAAAAAAGAAGAGATCTATTTATAGTAGAGAGATTATTCTAAATAGAGATAAGAGAAGAAGAATAAAAATATGGTAAAAATAAAAAAGAGAAGAAACAGATGGTAGAGATAAAAAAAAAGTAAGAGTTAAATTAAGGAAAAATATATAAGATACATCCTATACTTGTCTAGGAAAAGCAGTTCCACACTCAATCTTTACGGGTGTTCTATTACCTCCTTATTATTGTTCAAATTGAATTTAATACCATCCACAAGCTGATGTGGCAAAATAATAATAAATAAATAAATAATGGGCGTGTTGTACTAAAATTAAATCACAAATTTTGATTTTTTTTCTTCTTTTTTTTTATACAAAAAGACATATTTTCTTGCCCCCTTTTCATCTTTCACGTCCCCAAACCCTTCTTCTCCTTCTTAACGCCCTATCTCTCTTCTCCATTTTCGGACCTATAATCCAGATTTTCTTATCCCTTCCCCTTTAATCTTTGTCTTCACAGCACACTCCTTTATTGTTCAATTACCTATTTTTTATTTTGACTCACCTCAAAATATTATTCTCCTTAAAGAACCTGCAACAACAAAAGAAAGAAATATTAATCATTTTAATAGAAGTGATAAAAGAGAAATAAAGATTCTGTTTAATATATAATCTCTTGAAGTGTAATATATTTATGAAATTGGTGGTGATTTGGAAATCCACCACAATCTAGTGCGTCAATCTGACATATAGTTTAATGGGTTTGTGGTGTTTTATGTAAATGGGTTCTTTTGAAATTGATTTTGAGCATATCGTTGACTTGTAACAGAAATTCGTCAATTTAATATACAATTTAATAAGTTTGGTGATGGTTGATGGAATTGATGATGATGAATTTGGCAGTGAAATCGGTGGTGTAGATTTGGAGGTGATTGGGTTTGTGATGGTGGTGTTATTGGTGGTAATGGAGGTTTGGTGGTAGGTGCGGAAGAAACAAAAAAATGTGTGAATAAAAAAAGGAAAAAAAGAGTTAAAAACACATGATGCTGACGTGGTGCTAACGTGGCATGCGCGTTTAATGCACCTTATACTGTGAAACTGGTATTATATTTTAGAAGTTGGTATTAAATTCACTTTGAATAAGGATAGGGAGGTACAAGGACACCCGCAAAAGTTGAGTGTGAAACTGATTTTCCTGGACAAGTACAGGGTGCATCTGTCTAGAAAAAAATAATTTTCTGCTTCTGTTTTTGCTACTTGGAAGAAGTTAGAATTTGTAACTTCTTCCCAAAAGAAGAAAAACTGCTTTTGGTGCTGCTTAAAAGCACTTCTTTTTTTTTCTTTTGGCCAAATACCTCTTATTTCGAAATAAGTACTTTTTGGATTAAAAAAAAATATTTTTAACCTCCCAAAGGTACTTATGAAGCCTAAAGTCTAAAAGTCTAGAAATTTTATAACTTTATTTTATTCGACGATTTGTGCTAACTTCAACATTTAGGTCGGAAATTTCCCAAATTATGAAAAATATATCTCATTTATTATTTTAATAACGCTATCACCTTTAATTTCTTTTGAAATGCCAAGACAAAGGTAGAAGTTTTAAATTAACTGGTTTTTGAAAACATAATAGTCCTTCTTTCTTTCTTTTGATTTACTAAGGATCACTTATGCACACCCAACACTAGACGGGAAATATCCTCCATTTCAATTTATGTGAACTTATTTTTTTTTTTAGTTTGTGCAAAAAAAGAATGACCGTTTTCCTTATTTGGAAACAATTTACCTTTATGTAATGATTTATAGCCACATAAAATATATGTGTCTCATTCTACACCACAAGTTCAAAAGTCTTCTCTCTTTTCTTAAACTCCGTACCCAATCAAATGGGTTCACATAAATTGAAACGGAGGGAGTATAAATTGAAACGGAGGGAGTATGTGATTTTGTGATTTTTTTTTTGTCTATTTAACCAATAATCCTAGGTTATCAGGTGATACTAGCATTCAAATTCAAAAAGTTCATTTTTTTGTCAGCAAATTTCACTCTTCAAGTTTTTATTTGATCAGACGTGATTTGAACATCCCAATATTTGTCTTTTTGATATCTCCTGAACGTATTTTCATATCTTACAAATTACAAATTAAGAATCTAAAATTCTATTTCTCTAGTATCTGTTGTTGTATTCGAAAATAAAATTAAAACAGAAACAAAAATAGAAGTAGGAGAATTAAAATGTTTCGAGCCCAACATAATATTGTATTTGCTTAAGAAATTTAATTCCTTTACTGTTTTTCAAAGTTATTGGATTAATTTTTTTCAAGATAGAACGGAACAACTATTCTATAATATCGGCAATAAAATTTACAGAACTTCGTCGAACTCAATAAACGGCAACAAATCACACTGACACTTACGTTTTTGCTTTGGAAAATATTCAATTTCTGTTAAACTGCAAATTTTACAATAAAATTCTGCGCGGATTATAATATTAGATAAAATAAAATAAATAATAAAAATTTTGTCCAAAAAATTTATCAATTAGTTAAATCATTAGACCGAAGTCAAAGTCAAGCGTCGACGCCGACAACGCAAGGCTTAATCTCTTCTCAACTCTTTAAGAGCTAGAAGAATACTTCTATACATAAGCACATAAAGACGGTTCACTTGGTAATACCCAGAGAGAGAGAGAGAGAGAGAGAGAGAGAGAGAGTAGAGAAAAGGAGAAGGAAAGAGAGAAGCAGTTTTACTTGGCAAGGCTGGCTGAGCAAGCTGAGAGATATGATGAAATGGTAGAAGCAATGAAGACAGTTGCTAAGATAGATGTTGAACTGATTGTTGAGGAGAGGAATTTGGTGTCAGTTGGGTACAAGAATGTTATTGGAGCAAGAAGGGCTTCATGGCGGATATTGTCTTCAATTGAACAAAAGGAGGAGAGTAAGGGTCATGACCAGAATGTCAAGAGAATAAAGACTTACCAACAGAGGGTTGAAGATTAGCTTACAAAATATGCATTTACATTTTGTCGCTGATCGATGAGCACCTTGTTCCTTTGTCCACTACTGGAGAATCTGTTGTCTTCTTCTATAAGATGAAGGGAGACTACTATCGCAATTTAGCAGAGTTCAAATCAGGGGATGATCGTAAAGAAGCTGATCAGTCACTTAAAGCTTATGAGGCTGCTACTGCCACAACTAGCGCAAATCTTGCTCCTACTCACCCAATTAGACTTGGACTTGCATTGAACTTCTCAGTCTTCTACTATGAGATTCTGAATTCACCTGAGAGGGCATGCCACTTGGCCAAGCAAGCATTTGATGAAGCTATTACCGAACTTGATAGCCTAAGTGAAGAATCTTACAAGGACATCACCCTTATCATGCAGCTTCTTGTTAGATATATATTTTAATGATAGAAAATAACTTAATTCTAATTGCAGGAAATCAATCCCAAAGAAGGAAAGTCAATAGAATTGAAAAGATTCTAGTAAAGATCTTAAAGCAAGAATCAAGGACTCAAACGTGCAAGTCAAGATCCAAAAGTAAGAATCAAAGAGTAAATATGTTGTGATTACAGGCTTCATGAAAAATAAATATTTGATTCAGCTATTTACGGAAGGCATCAATCAATCAGTGTAGAAGATCTACAGAGAATATTCAATCACAAACGGCTTGCAAAGAAAAGGAAATTACGAAAGCAACGGTTCAGTAAAGGAAGTTCCATTTTATTCTTGGAAGAAAATCATCTTGATTGATTCTGAGGATCAACTCCCTTGGGCTGCCTTCCTTCTATGAAACTGTCACGCCGTGAAGAATGGAGCCCAACTCTTATATGTACAATAGAATATGCAAAGGAAGGATATACTTTGATCGAACCACTATCAATCTTTTTATTCTACTCCAAATAAGTATTGTAGTCTACTCTAGATTTACTTTGTAACTAGGGAGAGAAGAAAGAGAGAAAAATCACTGGTGAGGCATTCTATCAAGAAGCGAGGAAAGAAAAAATCTAGTGAAGAAGTTGTTGGTGTATAACAACACCAACCAACCTGTACCAAGAAACATCATACTTGAAAGAGAACTCTTGAAACCCAAAGGGGACTGGACGTATGATACATTCTGAATCTGAACCAGTATAAAATATCATGTGTCATTTACTTTTTGCAATTTATTTTTTTGTATTTAGTTTACATCTCACATCAAAAGTGTAGTCGACTAGAAAGAAATTTAGTCGACTACCTCATACAAGAAAAGAAAAAATTATAATTCACCCCCTCTTGCACTTTCAATTGATATTAGAGCAGGCCTCACATATTTATCTTTTGCTTAACAGCTAGTGAGAAAAGATCATGTTAGACCAAGTAACTATTGGAACACTCTTTCAAGAAGGGACATCGCAAGTAATGCCACCATATTTAGATGGACAATACTTCTCTCATCGGAAGGATAACCAATCATTGATCCTGAAGATATCGATGAGTACACTGATGAGAAAATGGTTGTTGTCCAAGTTAATGCTAAAGCACGAAACTTGCTTTATAATGCTATAAGTGGAGAGGAATATGAGAAAATTTCAAGCTGTGACACGGCCAAGGAAATGTGGGACAAATTAGAAGTTACCTATGAAGGAACTAGCAAAGTGAATGAAACCCGGATAAATCTGTTAGTTCACGACTATGAACTCTTCCAGATGAAAGAAGGTGAATCCATTGAGGAAATATTTGCACGGTTCAGCAAAATCATTGGCGATCTGAAAGCCTTTGGTAAATCCTACTCAAGTGCTGATCAAGTTCGAAAAATCTTAAGGAGTTTGCCTACAACATGGCAGACAAAAGTAATTGCGCTTAAATCTCAGGACCTAGACAAATTGTCATACGATGAGCAACAAGGAGATCTTATAGCATTTGAGAAAACACATCTCGAGAAAATGCGTCAGGAAGAGAAAAAGAAACAGTTGCCTTCAAAGCTGCAACTGAAAGAATTGAGAATAATATTGATGATGATGCAGAAGCTCTTGAAGAAGAAATTGCTATGGTTTCAAGAAATATGAATGGATTGATGAGGAGATATATAAACACAAAAAAGGGTAGGATGGCATCCAGGAGAACCAAACAGTACAATGAACAAGACAAAAATAATGAAAAATGCTTTGAATAAGGAAGGTATGGTCATGTTCAAACGGAATGCCCTGATCTTAAAAGAAAAGTCTCCAGACAAGCTGGAGCGATGAAGATGGTTCAGAACATGAAGAAATAGCAAATCTATGTTTCATGAATATTTTGGAAAATAATATGAAAAATACTCTGGATTCTAGACTGATGAAGATGTATCAGACGACGACTGTAAAGAAGATACTGAAAATTGCTTCATGAAACGAGGTGAAACAAGTGAGGAACACCACAGGAAAAGTCAAAAAGGAAAATGGTATCTGGACAGTATGTGTTCTAGTCATATGACGGACGACAAAAATCTCTTCAAAGAAGTTACCAAAATCAATGGAGGAAACGTTAAGTTTGGTGATGACTCAAAAGGCAAAATTATCGGTATTAAAACTATTCCGTTTAACAACAACTGTGATATCACAGACTAAATTAGATTCTGCTAAGCATCAGCCAACTATGTGGTTTTGGATATTAAGTGAAAACTGGTTGTGCTATTGAAGATGAATCAGGAAAAATCATTCTTTCAGGAAAGAGGTATGGAAATGTCTACATTTTAGATTGCATTGATAATATGAAAAGTCATATATGTCTTGCATCCATCACTGATGATCCCTGGCTTTGGCACAAAAAATCTGATCATGCCAGCATGCATTTGATTAAAAAATTCTCCAAATATAATTTGGTCATTGGACTGCCTAAGCTAAAATATTCTAGAAACCATGTATGTGATGCATGTCAGCTTGGTAATCAAACTAGAAACTCGTTCAAACCCAAGGATATAGTTTCCACTTGCAAGACTCTTCAACTACTGCATATGGACTAGTTTGGACCTACTAGAACTGCTAGTATAAGAGAAAAAAAGTATGATTTTGTTGTTGTGGATGACTACTCATGTTTTATATGGGTAATATTTCTGGCTCACAAAGATGAAGCTCTAAAGAACTTTGAGATTTTCTGCAAAAAGATAGAAAGAGAAAAGGGGTACCTTATCTCAACTATTCAGAGTGATCATGGAGGAGAATTTAAAAGCAGAGCATTTGAGGAATTCTGCAATGACCAAGGATACACTCATAACTTCTCAGCACCAAGGTCACCACAACAGAATGGAGTGGTTGAACGTAAAAATAGAACTCTGCAGGATATGGCCAGAACCATGATACTAGAGCATTCCCTACCTAATCACTTATGGGCAAAAGCAGTCAGCACAACATGTCACATTCTCAACAGGTGCTTAATTCGATCTATTTTAAAGAAGACTCCATATGAACTATGAAAGTGTAAGAGACCCAACATTGGATACTTTCATCCTTTGGGAAGCAAATATTTTGTCCATAATAATGGTAAGGATAATCTTGGTAAGTTTGATTCAAGAAGTGATTAAGGTATATTTCTCGATTACTCTAATAATAGTAGATCTTTTAGAATATATAGTAAGCGTACTTTATGTGTAGAAGAATCAGTTCATGTTATTTTTGATAATAATAACTCTATGGCGGAGAAAGGAGATTTTGCAGGTGATGAAGAGATCAGTCAAAATCAACCAAAGATCAGTGAATAAATGAATTCAAAAGAATCTGCTAACAGTGCAAATGAAATCCCATATTCGACTAATGAAGATATTAGTGAGCATGATAAATCTCAGACTGAGTCGACCACTCAATGTACTAAAGCAGTACCAAATGAATGAAGAAGCGAGCCTAAATATCCTAAAAAGTTTATCATTGGAAATCCAACTGATGGAATGAAAACAAGAGGAGTTCTAAAGAAAAAGACTAACATTGCACTCATATCCCAAATAGAGCTAAAGAAATTTGATGAAGCACTGAAAGACTCAAGTTGGGTACAAGCTATGCAAGAAAAACTTGATCAGTTTGACAAAAATCAAGTTTGGACATTGGTGCCCAAACCAGCAAACGCAATAATTATAGGTACAAAATGGGTATTCAGAAACAAACTAAATAAAGAAGATAAAGTTATCTGAAACAAAGCAAGGCTAGTCGCTCAGGGCTACTCTTAACACGAAGGAGTCGACTATGATGAAACCTTTACTCTAGTAGTATGATTAGAATCAATTCGTATTTTGCTAGCATGTGCTTCTTTTAAAGGTTTTAAATTATTTTAAATGGATGTTAAAAGTGTATTTTTAAATGGCTTTATTGATGAGGAGGTCTATGTTAAATAACCTCCTGGATTTGAAAACTCACAGTTTCCTTATCATGTGTTTAAGTTACCTAAGGCTCTCTATGGGCTAAAACAAGCACCTCGTGCTTGGTATGAAAAATTAAGCTCATTTTTGATCAGTTACGGATTCTCAAGAGGTAATATTGATACTACCCTCTTTATCAAAAGTTCATCTTCGAGAAATCTCATTATTCAAACTTATGTTGATGATATTATATTTGGAAGTGCTAACGATATTCTATGCAAGGATTCTCATATCTTATGCAAAGTGAGTTCGAAATGAGCATGATGGGATAATTGAATTTCTTTCTTGGGCTTCAAATTCATCAATCAGATGAAGGAATCTTTATATGTCAAACAAAGTACACGAATGAGCTGATACAAAAATTCGGAATAAGCAATACAAAGGCACTTGAAACTCCCATGAGTCCATCTACATCTCTTGACAAAGATGAGGAAGGAAAACCATTGGATGAATCAAAATATCGTGGAAGGATTGGATCTCTACTTTATTTAATTGCGAGTCACCCTGACATAATATTTAGTATATGCAGATGTACCAGGTTCCAAGTAGCTCCCAAGAAGTCACATTCAACAATTGTGAAATGAATTATTAGATATCTTATTGGAACTACATCGCATGGCTTATGGTATCCACTTCTTAATAATTGTAAGTTTGAAGGTTTTTCAGACACATATCTTGCAGGAGATAAAGATGACAGGGAAAGCATAAGTGGAACTTGTCAACTACTTAAAAAATCGCTTATTTCTTGGAACAGTAAAAAAAACAGGGATCTGTTGCATTATCTATAACTGAGGATGAATACATTGCCATAGGAAAATGTTGTGCTCAACTACTTTGGATGACTCATCAACCAAGTGACTATGATCCTTTTTTTAAGCCTGTTTAAAATTTTTTATGATAATTATAGTGCCATCTATCTATCAAAAACTCCAGTGCATCATTCTAGGGTAAATCATATAGATATCAAGCATCATTTTATTAGAGATCATGTTCTTAAGGGTGATATTGAATTGTCGTTTGTTAGTACTGAAAATCAATTACCTGCTATTTTCACTAAGCCACTTCTAGAGGACAGATTTCAAAACCTTAGGAATTTACTTGGCATTATTATTTTTTCAAAATAAGGCATTGGAATTTTGGTACTTCTTAAAGATTGCGTGCTTGAATAATTTTGGTAAAAACAAATTGTACCGTATATCTCATTATTACTGCTTGTTGCGTTAATTAAGCACCTCATTTTTTAGCACTTCTTTCCACCTTTTTTGATTTATCTAGATGGAAACTGAATCAATCAGTCATGCTTGTTGCCTTTCTCTGCCCCATCATCCACGTCGGTTAAGTCCTGCCTCTTCACTCCTCTCTCCATCTCTATAAGCCCGCCTTTTCTCTGAGTCCTCTCTGTGTAATCTCCACTCAAACTCTCTAATGGTTAAATCTTCAAAAAAACCCTCTTCTTCAACTCGTAAAAGCACCTGGTCCAAAGAAAAAACTCCATCTCAACCATCAGAACTAGTCACTATTGGCTCTGACCACTCTGAGGGTTTCTCATCTTCTCAAAAAAATATCTCTGATGATGCTCGTACAGAAAAAGCCCTAGGAAAGCTCCCCATGGAAGGAGTAGAAGCTTTCACCCCAAAGAAAGTGAAGATAGACCTGGACAGTGCGCTAGAGTCAAAATTGAACTATTGGGATTCACCCAACAGAGACAAGTTCGTCACTTTCAAGGGAAAATTAATTGCTCATGGAAGAATCATCAACTTGGAATAGATGGAGGCCCTAAACAGTAAAATATTTCTTCACTTTTCAAGTATGGGAAAATTTCTTTGCCCTAACCCCTCCAAAAGTCTATGAAGATCTTGTTCGTATATTCTATGTAAATCTTCGTTCCCAGAAATCTGATAAAATTAAATCATTCATGCTAGGTCAGCGTATCTATCTAGACTGTTCTACTTTTGATTCTTTGTTTAAGTGTAAAATTCTAGTTACTCTGCTCCATTTAAAAACTCATGACTTGATAATTTTGAAGTGTCATTTGAACAAGCCAAACAATGCCTTGTTGATTCAATATCTGATTCTCTACCAAATCAATTAGGACTTAGTGACATTAATTTTGAAATCCGTATTCTTGCCCATATTTTTACCACCACCATTCTTCCTAGAACAGGTTCCTATACCACATTATCTCAAGGGGACACCTTTCTGGTCCACTGTCTTTTCACCAAGCACAAGGCGAAACTGTCCTCTTGGATAATTAATTTCATGATTAAATATGCTAAAGATCCTTCGAGTCTATCTTACGTGATGATCATCACTCACCTCCTCAAGGCTTTCAATATCCCCATCTCAAACTTTTAATATCCCCTTCTCAAACTATCCCTATGTATCTATTTCCAAGTGTTATAACAATAGGGTATTTGTAACATGGGATATGTTGTTGTGGATGGTATTTGGATAAAGAAGCAGAAAATTGAAGCTAAAGTGATTCCTTCCAGTTCCAAGGTAAAGGTTGATACTTCTCAGGCTGTTGTCAATAATCCGGAGTTACTTGCAAAGATAGCTGCACTTCATGACAAGCTGACTATCATCAAAGAGCTACTCCTGGCCACTCAGACCTCAGTTGGAGATATTTACGAAATTGCAAAGGAAACAGGATCTGACGTGTCCAAGCTGAGAGTCATGGTT